CAACTCAACAGTCGAAATTGGAATTTCATAAAGACAGATGATTCTGAGCGCTGTTATTGTTGGCTGCGTAGAAGGAAGAATGTCAAGGAAGGAAGAATATCATATTAGTGATATTGGTGATAACGGAGAGGCATTAACTCGTAATGAGTTGGATTTGCCGATTAAATAAATTATATAAATTTCAATTGACTGTGAATGATTATTCATTCATCTTGTCATTTCTTTGATCATCTGCTCGCACCGTTCGCTCTTTGCAATTCTCAGTAATTCATTTTTATATGAGTATGCATGCAGCCATTAATTTTTCCCCTGAAACGTCGTCTACCGTATTGTACTAATCGCTTATCGGAAACGATGTGGAACATAATTTGACGACGTTTACGTTCATTTCATGCAAATCAAGTTTGTGCATATTGATGCGCTTCTTTGAAACATGAATCCTTGATATCACACACGCCACCCTCGCCTCTTCTACTCAATGTCCATGGCAATTTTTTTCTTGAATTTGCAGAACATTCAGTTTTATCATATGTTCAGTTCATCCATTCCTGAACGATTCAAGCCCCAATGAGGCTACGATAATCATCCACAAATACTTGGCCGATTGTGTAAGATTTGCAAATAAGCGTCCAACTGCAAGACAGACTGTTGTTCGACACTGAGACTGGTCAATTCATCTTCTATTGAAATAATTCCGCTTACTGTTCATATGCATGAAAATTGTTAAAGGAACGACCTAACCGTTTCGCTCATTCAGAATATGGAACTGAATCATTTCATTACATTTCGAACACTTTTCTCCGATCTTCGAGCAGTGCATTACCACCAGCCAGCAACAAATTCATAATGTCTTGAAAAAAGTTGTGGGAAATCGCGCAACTTTCGTTATACACTTTTTCCAAGATGAAAATTCGCAATTTCTCGTCCTTGATTCACCGTTCCAATGATACAACCAATATGCAGTACAAGGAGCAATGAAATTGGAAAAATTAAAAACATTGCGTCACGAATGCAACAGAAACAGTTTATTCTTTTTTATTCACAGTTCAATGATGAAATAAATGACAATTTACTTTCTTAAGTTACAGGTGACATAATCTAGTAAACTGGTAATATTCTACAAGGCAGATACATTTTTGACTGGAATAATACAGACAGTTGCTAGTGAACGTGATAATGTAATCTCATTAAGCGATCTGACGAAAAAGGTAATCTAATACTAACAACAGCGAACATCACCCATGTTCAAAGTACCAAGAAATAAGCTTTTATACAATTTTGCAAAGTAACCAAAAATAAAATCTCTTACAACAGAAAAAGGGTTACATGACAAACCGGTCTTCAATCTACGTACACATACAAGCATATACAGATACCACAAACCGGTCAACATACAGATCCAAGCACATGGAAATTTTACTGACAACATAAAACGCACACAACTTGACGATGCGTGTATTTCGCTTCATTCAACTACACGAGTTTCTTCGTTCGTTCAAAATTCGAAAGGATTTTACTTCTAAAACATACAAATATGCTCATTTAAGCAAGTGACATAAATGCTTCAAAAAAACAGGAAGTCAATATTGAAAAGTCATTCACAAGTTAGGCTCAATGCAGTGAAAGTTAAGTTTATATTTTAAGATAAATCTCGCCGTTAAATCGGACTGAATATTTACACCTATAAGCATGCATTATCAAAGAAACGAAAAACAAGAAAAAAGCAAAAATTCATCAGACAGACACAAGTGACTACTCAAAAGGCAGCACGGCGAATGATGAGCAAAATCAGAACGTGCGTTAACAGCGCTCAATACCACTTTAAATCAGTAGTACGTCAATGCTTTTTAAAAGAACATATTGCACATGATAACAAAACGAAAAGTGTTTCAAAATGAAAATGCAATTAACCAATATGTACCCATTCACAAAAAAAGAGATGCATAGACGATGCTTTGAGATATCTTAAAAAGTGAGGTGATATTTTACACTATAATAAATCAGTATCAATGACAACAAACTGATTCAGTAGAATTCATAAGCATGTGTTGATATCTGTTTGATAATCAATGAAATTGTACGCGATGAAGCAACGACCCGTTTATTCACCCTGTGCATACGTTCTGCTAACCAAACTGCCATTACGTGTTTGCACTGAAATGTGCAATTTATCATGAAAGAATGTGTAAATGAGAAAGAATGCAACAACTGCACGCTGTCTCCAGTCTAGAACAGTAGCCTTCATCATTACTAAGAAAGTCTGAGTTGAATCAAGTCAATCGGTTTGAATTTCTGATGGAATCAAATGATAGCTGGTTGAAATGATACCGACTGAACGATATCGACGGATCAAAATTTTTTACCGCAAAACAAAATTGCTAAATTCTGAACGAATCATTAATTGCTACAATCTCAAAACTCATTACCATTATCATTTTCTCTTATATAAAATGAACTTAGAGCGGATGGTTCGTATTCCTCGTTATAAATTTTCAAGCTACTCATATTCTCAAAATTCTGCTATGCTTCAAACCACAATTAACTGCATGTGAACGCGAATGTACGAGTAAACACACGTGATTAACGAGCAAATGATTGATGATACATGAAACGTTCAATGTTAAGTAAGCGCAAACGAAAATCGTCGTAAATGAGAACATTGATTGTGAACGGAAAAGCGATAGCAACAGGGGATCGGGAACACGTCGAAGTGATACGACATTGTAAAGGAAACAAAAACTGCGATGTCGTGCGAAGTGAACGAAGAAGAGATCTCTTCTGAAGACGATCATTCAGAAATGAAACGAATGCATGTGCGTGCGAGCACTCGCTAATGCTTAAACATTTCATGCACCTTTTGCATGCTGCGTTGGAAATATTCAAGTGAATTAATTCTATTTTAAAACATGACATACAAAGGATAAATGAACTGATGATCGCATTTATATATAATCTTTACATGACATAAATTAATATACAATTTATTACAATAGAAATTTTTGCATACATATACGCTACAGAACGTCTTCGCGTGTAATCATATATTGAATCAACGGTAGTCTAATTGAAATTCTTCAAGAACGCACAAATTTCCGAAACAAGTCAATCTATTGTTACAGATTACAAAAAATCGTTTCGAGGGATACAGCGATAAATTTATTCCCTAATTGAGTGATGAATAATTTCTGCCATAAGCACAGGACAATTTCCCTTCGAAAATACTTTTGGTTATCAAATTGATGCCGTAATTTGAATTCGGTATTTTCGAGATTACCGTATAATCAAAAAAAGAGAAAGAACTTACGTGGGAGCATCCCATGAGAAGAACTTACACTGAGCCGGATCCGTTCGGTGCTTTTTACAAGTCCAAAACCAACGACCATGATTCGGTCCCTAAATGTGAAAAATGAATAATGTAATAAAAATTTGATTGATGTTATTTAATTTTCAAGACACTCAAAATTATCGATACGCCAGAACTCTCAGCAAATTTTGCAATTATTCTACAATGTGTCGAAGGTTACAACATAAAACATTACACTATGTGTAATAATATCAATCGATTTATGAAGTAGATTCGACTGAATCGTTGACTTAAAAGAATGTGGTAAATCCGAACAAACCGACCTCTTTCTTGACTTGCAAACGTTGTGCAGGTTCACCACAAAAACATAATTTTGTGTTTGCGGGTGTATTTGCGTCAGTGGTTGTTGATGGGGCGTTAGTGTTGGTATCTCTATTAACCCTGTTACGCCTTACCGGTTGACCGGTGTTCACTATCGACAATTCTACAAAACCAACAATGTGATAAAATCATTTTGAATCCATATTTTCAAAAAACTTCAACAACACAACTCGATGGTCGGTGTAAACGAAAATGGACAATTCAAAAAATAATTTTCCATTTCAAGTGCTAAACACCAATCTTCGTATCAGAAATGAGTGCAATTTCATCTAATTGCAAAGTAGACAAGTTTTGGAGCAAAATTTGCAGACAACAAAACAAATCTGTTCATAATAACATCCAAGGTAATAATACCAACGAACAACTAAATAAGCCATCAAAACCTACGATTCAGAAGTTCCACATCACTCATATTCGTTAACGCTTCTTGTGGCTGTTGAGCAACGGTATCAGCTGCACGACTAGCGCCTCTCGACGTACCCCTTCCTCGAGACGTATTACCACCAGACTGTCTTGATCTTCGCACGGCACCTCCTCGACTATTGCTATTGGTATTGGTATTGCCACGACGACGAGCAGACTGCTGATTGATGGCTGCGTTGGTTAACGACGATAACGGATTGTGGACTGCGTCTGAGGCATTGAATTCTTGTTGCTGATTGCGCTGCGATGAATTCAAATACTCTCGGAATGCGTTCGACAACATCGCAATCTTCACTTCACTTTGTTCAAAAATGCGTCGATATCGTTCCGTTTGTTCGGCGAGCACCTCGTCTTTGTTGCTGAAATTTACACAAATTCAGTTTATGGAACGCATCATTTTATGGAAATGAAGTTCGTCGAACATTTTCCACAAATACATTACATTTGAATAGAAAATAAAAAATTTCACTTCAAGCCAATTTTATTACAGCAAAATTTCAGAGGTGAGAATTAATTCAATTATGTAGGTATTTAGGTTTACTGTACTATTACACTGCCATGATACAAAGTTAAAACGACAAATTTAAAGGAAGATTCATCGCGAGAACAACAATAATGCTGCAGCAATAGCCCAAAACAACCGTACCGTTGTCCAAGACAAATGAGTTTGAGTTGTGATTCGAGATCAGCGCGCATATGCGGTTTGCTCATTGCGTAACCCATGCGATCGTAGCCATCCACCAGCGCCAAACCCAAATAACCGGGAATGAATCGTTTATCTTGATTCAACGCCGCGTACCGTCTTGCCTTTATCGTCTCAATGTGTTCCGCATGCGTTGCATCCGTTCCAATACCGTATTTGTCCATCAGCGCTATCAAATCAGCTGCAAACAAGGCGATAATATTCACTGATAAGTTTAAAATTTCTTCTTGAGGTTCAAGACAAGTAATACAAATTGATGCATTCATGACACAATCAGCCTTAAATAAAATAAAGGAAAAATCTTGATAAACATATCAATCTAATCCAGAAATCAACATCATATGAGGACGGACTGATGTATTTATCAAGATTTTTTTGAGAATAAACTAAAATCAACTTGATCTGATCGCATTACAAAATTTCGTTCGCACTTAATTATATTTACTTCGGATATCTGATTTTAAGTGCTTCCTCCTTGAATTTTTGCAATGGACTGAAATTAAACGATTAAAAATGGAATGAATGAAAAACAAACGACCTTCATTAAGCAAGCTCGGTGGTTGTGTGTGCCCTTCATTCATCGATACTTTACATTCCTTCAGAAGTTCCCCTTCACGATACTGAGGCAACGTTTTATCGCTCCACTTCTCGTACTTATACACTCTCAAATACCCATAATCCTCAACTAATAATCCAGTTGCAGTGAAACTTTCACCACCCTTTCCGATCTGAAACGCTATTCAATAATACGCACTTAACTTTACTGTTATCGTTATTCCTAAAACAATCTTTGAAGGTTTTATGAAGCAAAGTTTGAAACGTGCAATTAATAGCAATAATACAGTCATAAGCTGATGAATAGATACCTGAACTTTAGTTTCTTGTCCTTTAGCATCCGATGATAAACACGCCAGAAAATGACGTACAACTAATTCATAAATAGACCATTCATAACCGACCAATTCATTTGGAGATGCGAACTTTAACGGATGTATAGGCGGGNTGAAAATTTCCCAAACAAATTACAACTGAAAAAAAGCTGAGAAAATGTACAAAATTTTGACATATTCTGATCTCAGAATGAAGAAATAAAATGTTTCTTTTACGGAAAAGCAATCAAGACAATCAAATGGTTGACCGACCTCTTGTGCGAATTCACCCCATTCAGGATTAGCTGTTTGCTGATCAACGAGTGGATTCAAGTCTAAATTCGCTGGAAACTTATTCGTTTCAGTACGTGGATACGAGATGTAACCTGAAAGTTTCTTGAGTAGAAACATCGAAAATTTGATGTAGAAAGATGCATACAAGCTAAATTCCATTTACCTGATGAAAGAATAAGATCTCAGTTACAGAAAGATCAACATTTCAAATTTCACCTTTACTATAAAGTTTCTCAGCAACGGCCATCGCATCTTTGGCGCTCATATGAAGTTTACGAACAGCCAATTTCTCAAGCTCGATGGTATCCAATGCAGCCGGACGCCATTTACTTTTTGGTTTTTGTTTCACGGATGTAACACGTGTCTCAGATGCCTCATTGCACATATCCAATAGTACCTTCAATAAGAGGCGACGACATAATTTGTTTTGAATAATAGTAACTAACTGTAAGCAATTGACTAACAATAACCGAGTAATTGAAACAGAATATTCTTATGTGAATGATGACAAAACCAGTCATTTCTAATAAGTACCCCTTCTTAAAGGGAATAAATTTTTCGAAAACGGGTACAAGATCGCACACCTCAGCAACATCTCATTGATTTACTTTCAATCCGTTGGAAATACTTGGAGCTTTTTGAAAAGTTCTATTTGCTGTGAAGGTTGAAAATAAGCTGAAGAGCGTGTAATAAAACGAAACAAAGTTTATTTGAGCAATAATGTAAGATGAAACCTGAACAACGTCTCGATCAAACAAACGATTCCGATCCCATTCAAACGTAACATCAATCCCCGAACGACTATCTTTTGCCACAAGTTTCCAGAATGTTTCAACGATAAATTCTTGTATCGCTTTATAGCGTTCAACGACAAAACCCAACGTCGGGAACTGACAAGAACCATAACTGATTATGTCTTTGAATTCACGAAATATATTCGCGAAATTACTTCTGAAAATGAATCACTTTCAATGAGGCAAATCAATCGAATTTCAATTGCTTCAACTCATAACGCAAAATCACTTGTTCATGGCGACAGGATCATTTGGTAGAGATGGAAATTCTTTTCAAAAATTTTCGTGCCAAATTCATCATTTNAATCACTTGTTCATGGCGACAGGATCATTTGGTAGAGAGGGAAATTCTTTTCAAAAATTTTCGTGCCAAATTCATCATTTCAATACCCAATCAAAATGTTCCACCACGACAAAAATTCACGGTCAACAACAATTTAATAAAACCCACGAAAATCCTCATAAGACACGAGAATGTTTCAAGCGAATATCAGAAGAAATGAAACACAATGAATTAGGTGAATACCGTAAATGAAGTGTTTGAAGACGCGTGAATGCTGCACCAATTCTTAGATCGAGTTCAGATCTGTTAAATTTACAAAAAAATTATCGATTGTTTTCACCGACCTACTTCCTATACACCATCGGAATAACGCAAAAAAATACGCTCCACTGTCAGAATAAAACTATCGGCGATCATTCAAACAATGACGAACAAAACAAATACGCTTTGAATGAAATTCAAAAAACAGAACGAAGTATTGACGAAAATGAATCAATAATTTCCGATCAACTCGCCCACCTGCATTCAACCGCATCCACCATACGCTGGTCAATATGGTCAAGATTGTTCAACGCACGCCATACAGCCGAGCCAGTTATTTCAGAGAATCGTGCCCTGTAGACTGGCATTCTCGGCTTCACGCTCAAGCAAACACTAGCTACCTCGGCAGCGATTCCCTCACCTTCACGATCGCAATCAGTCCATATCACTAGAACCTGCA